ACAGAATTATCAGAAAGATAAACAGCATATAGCGCTAATCCGGCAACTTAAGTGTAAACACCTGAGTGAACTATAGGTGTAGAAATGATATGATGCTTTTAGAAAATATGATGCATTTATATCAAATGACACCAAGCACAACCATAAAATGCTGCTTATGCTTGAATTCATCAGAGGTAATACATCAATAATACACAAGACAACATCACTGACCCATATTAACACAGAGCTTTAGTTTTGATACTGTGAGTGCATTTTACTTCAGGAGTGTTTTTAATGGAGAACTTTTACTTTTCAGCACTTCTACTTTCACTTCTGTAAAGTATCTAAATACTTCTTCTGCTGCAGCAGTTGCTTTGTACTCAGAGTGTTTCTCTTTGTGTAGTGGCTCATATTTAGCACAGAAAGGTCAGTTTACTTATGATCATGAGTTCTACCAGCTGCTCATTGTAGCTTCAAAAATAAACTTTCAGTTTGAGATTGGAGAGGTTTGTTGGCAGACAACCCATTTTCAGACCTTAAAATCAGGATATTTTGGCCTCTGGCTGAACAACATTAGCAACTATTTTTCTACCCATGTGTTTGTCGACTTTTAAACTTCAATCCTTGAAGTGTACATCAAACTGAAAATTCCACATTTGACAACAATCTGCAGTATATGAAACACTTTTAAGCCGACTTTGTAGTAATTCTAATCAAGCCCTGTGCATGTTTTTTGCTTATCTGCTTTTTTGTTAAAGCTTTAAGACCAATTGTTGTGCTTTTGTAGATTGTTTCTGGAAATCTGAGCATTCCATTTTACAATTAGAAAACTAAAATGATGAGGAATAACTGTTTTTGACAAATAAAATAATGGGTTCTTCATCAGGTTTCTTCATCAAAGTCTTTTACCTCACGGTGCAGAAGGTGCTTTGAAATATAAAACATATTTCACACTCTAACTGAATAATTAGAATAAATCTGCAAACTCCAAATTGAAGACAAGCTATTTATAGTAATTTAAAGTCACTGACCTTCCTTCACAGTTTTAAATACAGTCAAAAAAAGCAGTCCTGAGCTGCTAAGGCCAGTAGGTGGCGCCCTCTCATTTCAAATGAAGCTGAATTCAAAATAACATGAGCTGAACTCTGCACATCCTCCTCACAGTGTTTCCTCTGTAGCCTTTTTGTTCCCAAGCAATGCCATCCCATAATGGTTTTATATTTCTATACTGAACAAAATCACTATTACAGCAAACACATTAAGCTTCATGCCCAAATCCATTATCAGAAAATGCCTCGAGGGTCATACAAAGAATCTATTGACAAACTAGTTCTGCTGCTTGTTTCATGCAGAGCAGAATCACAGAGGTTTCATTATATCATTATGTATCGCTGCCATCTGTTGTATTGTTGACGGCCAGTGATGGGACAGGTGTCCGCTGACCACACGTGTTTATACAGGCAGAGAATCAATCAGGAGCACAGACTGCAAATACTCAGAGACAATTGTCCAGCAGGAGGATAAAACGTTATTCTTCCTGTAAAATGTTTGATAGTACATTGGACGGATTTAACGCGGGTTTGTGTAAATGCACTCAGTTGTAGAGCTCATTACAGCGAGATCATGTAATGTAGGAGTCACGCAGGGATAAAATCTTCTATTACAGCTCTGAATTTGACCTTTACACTGAGATATCAGCAGATCAATAGGTGATATATTTGTCATGGTGCAGAAAATCAGCTGAGAAACTGTTTGTTTTATAAAATATATGGATGAAAACTTAAGATTAATTCGAAGCTATCCTTTCTAGTTTTATACATCAACTTTTCATAAACAAATATTTCACCTTTTTCTCCGCAACGTATATTCATTTGCCAAAGTTATTGTTCAGATGTGGTTCTAAAATCAAAAAATATGACCTAAAATAAGAGAAATGTAACAGATTAAATCACACTATCAATGAAATGCTGCTTACATGTTACTGCTTCCATCCTAATTAATATATAGTATAATGTTAAAGAGGCTGTTTTATATACAAAGTGCTTCTACTTTTAATGTTTTCTGTCATTTTTTGTTACCAATCTTCTTTATTTTTAATTGTTCTTCCTTGTGTGTCTTCCACCAGGTTGTTACAGTTAATTAAATGTACAATAAATAAAGGTATTTTATCACAATGATGCCGTCACACAGTCGTCCTGGCAGCGTTTTGCACAAAGTAAACCATCGAGTGTGACAGAGGCTTACACGCTGCACTGTTTAAATACCATTTCCCCAGCACTTTCTCTTTAATTTTCATATTTTTGTTAATGTTGTTTATTTCATTTTTCTGTATCTTCTATGAATGACAAATGAAAGTCAGCAGCTTTCGGCCTTGTGTCTTCAACAGATGTGAAACAATGACAAAGAGACACAAAAATCCACCAAAACGCCTGCAACCACCTTGTTGAGGAGTTTTTTGCTCACTAGTCTCAATGGTGGACCAGGAGGTCAGTCAAAGACACACAAATCAACAAAAAAAGAGGTTCAAAACCTCTCCAAAGAGACACAAAACAACCACAAAGAGGTGCACAACAACTACAGAGAGATGCAAACCAGCAAAAAAAGAGACACGCAAAACGACCACAAAGAAGTGCAAAATATCTACAGACATACAAAATGACTACAAAATAATCACAGAGACTTAAAATAACATAGAGACACAAAATAACTGCAAAGAGATACAAAACAATCATGAAGTGATGCAAAATAATCAGGAGCCTATTAAAAATGAGAGAAACTAGCCGCAGAGACACAAAACAAACACAAACGGATGAAAAACAGCAACAAAGACACATAAAATGACCACAAAGAGACACAAAACAACCCCAAAGACATACGAAATAATCACAGAGACACAGAATAACAGCAAAGAGACGCATATTTACAACAAATAGAATTAAAATAACCACAAAGAGACACAAAACAGCAAAGAGATGCAAAATAACCATGAAGAAATGCAAAAATAATGACAAAAAGACACAAAATTATCACCAGGAGAGGCAAACTAACCACAGAGAGATACAAAACAATCACAAACAGACAAAAATCACCACAAAAAGATGCAAACTACCTAAAAAGGAACACAAACCAACCACTAAAAGACACTAAATAACCAAACACCAAATACAAAATGAGATAAACTGGCCAGAAACACAAAACAACAATGAAAACACACAAAATATAGAGACGTAAAACAACTACAAGGAGACTCAAATTAACCACAGGCGTGCAAAGTAATAACAAAGAGAGAAAAAAGTTACAAAAGCTCGTGCAATACGATGACAAAGAAGCACAAATCCACCTCAGGGATGTAAAGTGACTCCAAAAAGAGACAAAACAACCTCGATAAGACGCAAAACGATTACAAAGCCACACAATACGACCACAAAGCGGCGAAGGCCCCACATGCAGCTGCGTCCTCATTGTCACATAATCCATCCGCCCCTGTCACCACACATCAACCTTAATCAGGCTTTGCGTGATATTAAGCATCTAAACACAGATACAGTAAAGCAGCGACTCATTTCACTGCTGCTCAGCTTCTTGTTAGTATTCAGAGGGAACCAGCTTTGCCACTGAGGGCAATTACGCTCACAGAAAATTAACATTCATTGTGTGTCAGTGACATTATGCGAGTATCTGTCTCCGTATGAAGCATCCAGGGACCCAGAGCCATGTAATCAATATCTATTAGTCTTCCCATCAGAAGAATTAGATTTCACTATTAGATCAGGCTGCTCCCCCGACTCCACGTCAAACATTATAAGTTGACTGAACATGTCATTCGCCGAAGTAGCTGCCTAATGAAAGAGATCATGTTGAACTCAAATACAATAAGAGGAAACATGATCCAGTCCGAGGAGGAGCTGTTCTATTGGGAGGCCAGCAGGTGTCAGGATCACACCGGCGAAGGAGACAAAAGCACAGAGTGGCTTTCACGTTTTTATTAATATTGACATGGGTACATACATAAACGGGAGAAAACTGTGAGTAAATTCTGTGAGGAAACCAGGATTTGCTTCCTTTTTGTTTTCTTAAAATTACAAAAACCAAATTCAACAAAAATGAGAGGGAAAAAAAAAACAAAAAAAGAGCTGTGCAGATGGCAGCTTACACATATTCCATGACAAGAAAAGGTTTTGGTTCAGTGACTCACAGATGCATGTGATGATAGAAAAAGAAAACCTTGAAACAGAACAATTTTGAAACTGTACACAAATGGCTGTTTTCTTCATCATCAAGTTTGCATGACACAGCACTCGGTGAAAGAGAGATCTTTTTATTGTGAAGAGCTGTTGAAGTAAGTGCTCGTAGTAAATGTGCTCCATTTAAAACGTAAAGATGCTCACATTTGCCATAAAAGAATTTTGGTATAGGACGGCATGGTCAAATATTCCGAAATGTTGCCCATTTAAAGTGCTTTAACAACATGTACAAGTGTTACAAATAACCTAAACAATAAGTTAAATCAAATACAGATCAATAACAAATATATGTAAAAACTCAACATATTCAAACAAGCAAAAAAAAAAGAAAAAAAATCTAAATAATGTCAACTCAGTATCACAATTATACAAGCCATTGCACATCGTCACATGATATATTTATATATATGTATATAGTGTTGTATTTTTTTCTTAACTTAGCTAAAGTAGCAGACAGCTTTGATTCAGTGAGACTCTTCAGCTTGAGCTTCAACACTCCTGTGACGTGAATCGGATCTCTTCAGCTAAAGAGTTCGAGGAGAAACTCTTCTCCTCCGAGTGTTCACCTTCAAGTCAAGTGCTAAAATCGGTGTTGTATCTGTACAGCGGGTTGGTAAATCCTGTCGGTGAGGAGGTGAACACATGAGAGCTCTCCAGGCTGACCTGTGTGTGGGGTTTCTCTTTCTTTTATCTTTTTTTTTTTTTCTTTTTCTTCTTTTTTGGCTGTGCTGGGTGGAGGGAGGTCAGGGCGGGTTTGGAGTTCTGGCCGGGGCACTACGGAGGCAGCAGCGGGGGTTTGAAGGTGCAGGCTCCGGTGCACTGACGAGGGGTGAGCATCTTGCAGGAGAAATGGTGAAGAGCGTCGTGAGCTTCTGGGGAAGAGCGAGTCCATCAGTGAGAACATGCACAGGACACTTTGACAAAGTATTGATGAATTTATCAAGTGTGAGTTTTGTTTTTTTTCCCCCCTAATGTTGCAAAAATAACAGACTTTAAAGCAACACTCACATGTCCAAACAGCTGTTAACAAAGAGATCTTTATGATTTCAATGTAAGTGATGGAGGATTAAAAAATGCAAAAACATGTAATGTGGCACGTGCATATCTTCATTTAATTTTTTGAATAAAAAAAAGATACTTCTTTGTGTTTTCTTGAGCCAAACACGGTGCAAAATTGAACCAAATTTTCACACAATTTGCAAAAGAATTAATTTGCATTCATTAAATTAAACAGATGGTGGAGCCAATTCTCTCCTTGGTGCAATTTAAACCACCGCAGAAGAAGAAGAAGAAGAAGAAGAAGAAGAAGAAGAAGAAGGTGGCACCATGAGATGACGTAATTTGAAAAGCACCAGAGAAACCTCAAATGGTAGAAAACGAGGAAATTTGCAGCATTTCTGGTTGTTTATGGAGTCATCTACACATCTTTGCACCTTTATTTTAGTCTCGTCAGTGCACGTTTCAACACAGGCTTCCTTGTTTATTTGTTAAGTGTGTTTCTGTTGACTTTTGGCTCATCTTGCTTTTATCAAAAAAAAACTTTTCCTGTCTCAGCAAAGCATTCAACTTTTTGCAATATTTTGACTTTTTTTCCACTCTGGTTTGCACAAATTTAAGAAGTGCATAGAAGCAGTCGGATGGAAAAGCAGCGATGAACAGTGTTTTTGTGCTGAACTGTCAGCAACAAAAACAGGACATTTTTGTTTTTCAAAAACTGCATTTTTAGACAAAAGGCACTTGATTTGACTTTTTCAGATCACTTTTCCTCCATCACTTACACTGAAATTCCTTAAAAACAGAATCTCTTGACAGCCTGAATGAGCAGGAAGAACAAATAATGTGACCAACAGTGTTTTAAATGTGGCCATGTGAGTACTGCCTGGAAAAGAAAGTGAACCTATTCTTTGAAAAGTGTCTTTTACAGTAAATATTGATCACTGACCACACATAAAAATAATAAAAGTAGCACTTGCATATTTATGTTCCTAGGCCAAAAAAGAAAGAAAAAAGAGAAAAGAATGTCATGTGTTCATCGTGTTCCTTCTTGGACCAGATAAAATTACCTTTTAGCTTCTGCTGTATTGCATAACGAGCCTTTCTCTCTTGGTCCAACTCGCTGCACAAAGTGTCTATCAAAAAAATAAAATGAATAAAAAAATGTAAATAAATGGTCAAAAAAAAAAAAAGGAAAATGTGATCTGCTGCTGCTGCTGTTGCTGTGTAATGTATGCTGTTTGCCCCTATGGTATTTAGAGTGACCCCTCTGTGTACTTGAACCCTGTATTTAAACTACTGTAACATTACACCAATCCTTTAACGGGTGGCATTAGTTGCTGTCTACTGCATGTAACCGATACAGCACTACATAATGGTCTGTCTATTCAATTTTCCAGAGCATGATTTAGGAGAAAATAACCTTTGCAAACAAAACAGTGCGGTTTCAGTTTCACCTTTTCACATGTGATAATTTTACTCAGCTGCAGGAGAAAAAAAAAATCGTTTACAGGAAAAAGCCTGGACACAAATTGCCAATATTTCAATATGCAAGTGTCACTTTTCCTCTAAAAAAAAAAAATTTGGAGGCTATTTTGTTCAAGATTAATTAAAATAAGCCTGTTTTCTATTGTGTGGCTTGAATGTTCCCCTCTATAAACTTAAAGAGCATTGATCTACATCTGCTTTACAGTCAGAGGACAGAAGAGGGACCAACCTCGAACAATCTGCAGCTGCTGGACCATCTCCTCTCTGTAGGACAGCTCACGCTTCATTTGATCCTGAAAATTATCTGAAGAGTACCGAAGGCCAGGTCAGATGGAAACTCTCTGACATTGTGAGGGTGAATTTAAATACAATTCTGGATTCAGAGCACTAAGCAACTTCTCTTCCACCACCCAGGCTTGCAAAGCACAGATCCAAAAACAGACATAAACGGTGCAAAAAGCAAAAGTCACTCACTTTCTGTCCTACCTTTTAAATGCTGAAACTCTCTCTCCAACTTCTTCCTCAGCTCCACCTGCTCCACGAGCTGCTTCTGCAACTCCTCTGCAAAAAAAAAATAAAAGCATTAATATCAACACAAATCAGCGTGTTTATTCTGCAGAAATCATTAAAATAAAAATAAAAAAAATCACCTATTCTCCCTCCTTCATCTAATCCACATCGCTCTGCCTCCACTTACTGTGATATATTCGGAATTTTCAGCACATAAAGATTTATGTGAGGCCACTAAAAGCGACTTCAGGTGCGTTTGGAACAACCCGTTTCGCTGCTTTCCCCCTCTTTGCTCGCTGCCACAGTAATTGCCATGCATCGCCCGGAGGTGGAGACGATAATAATGGAGTCCCAGGGTTTTTCCAAGCGTTGTAAAATAATTAGCTGCCGTGCCTCGGGGTTATGGCTCTGTTCGTTAAAATATTAATAGCCTCTAAACGATTTCCTCTTACAATAATAAGTCAAAACTCCTACATCTCGTGATTAAGTGGTTAACAACTATGGAAACACTTTAGGCCTGAAAAATGGAAATGTTCACATTCTGATTTTGGCACGTCATCTTTAGCAGGCCGTGGGCGCTGAGCTGCGTTTGGATTTTAATGTTTAATATTCATTTAAAACGCAAATACGATTTGAACATGTTTCATAGCAAACAAAAGATAGAGCTTCATTTGTGCTTTTTAAAAAAAAGACATTGAACCTCATTAGTAAATAATTGGTTATATTTAATTATATAGAGTGCGTTTTTTTGTCATTACAATTAAAGATACAAATAAATATGTCCTAATTGCTGCTAATTAACATCACCTTCTCCACCTTTTCCTTCTTTTATTTCCATTTTGAGCCTGAAAAAAGCCTCCTACCTTTCGCCATGTTCTCCAGATCTCTTTCATGCACGCTGATGTCGATGCGTAAAGCTCCATCGGCTGCACAAATTTAACAAAACACAACATTTAATCAACAATTAAGCCACCCCTGTGTCTTGATATCATTTTTAAAAACCCTCTGGGGGGACACAGCAAAGCATCCAAACCAGCCACAGTGTGTGTGTTACATTTTAAAAGCACAAAAACAGATAAAAAGATGATTTAGAAACCTTGTCTGTCCTTCTGCTCCTGGTAGGACGCTGCGCTGCGCTGGTTCTGGATTTCAGACACGTGATGGACGCCTGAACAAGCCACAGACACGTTCAGTTAAAAAAAAAAAGACACACACGAGTCTCCTCCACTCTGCATTAATACACAGAAACATAAATCGGTGCAGTAATTACCGTTGGATCTGCTCGACTGTTTGGACCCAAACGACGGAGGCTCGTTCAGCAGCACGTGAGCGTCCTTTTCATGAGTGTACACCTGTAAAACACAGCAGACAATCGTGGTTAATAACGGACACCAATTAAATGCCATTTGCTTGCAGTTCTTCACATAATTGAGGCTCGATTTATTTCTTCTAAAACACAAGAGGAGCGCCGCAATTTGATGTGAAAATTTGGATTTTTGAAGCACTGGTGCCTTAAATCTGAGCTCACAAAAGCAGGTTAATTGGAATAAATACAGAAATAAATTAAGGTAAATTAGAGTGTTATATTTTAATTAACCTGACAGAAAATGTAAAAAAGGAGTGATGCATTAATAGAAGCTGAGGTGGCTCCTTATTAACATTTTTGGAATTTCTTTTTAACTGATTTTAGAGGAACAATGTGGCCTCCAGATCTCCAAACACTCAATATGTCCTTCAAATATCTACTTTTTTCACGTCTTGAATACATTTTTATCCTGTACTCTATAGACCATCCTCATATTTTCTACAGTTCATCTCCCCCCAAAGGGTTGATTCAAGTTTCATTTAATCTAATCTTACCTCGTGAAGAGGTGAGCCGTTACGCATCTGTCTGTCCTCATCTGATGACCCGGTGTGAGCAGAGTCCTCCGGTGATGCTGCGGCCGCCCCGGGGCTGGAGGCGTCCGGCTGCTCCTGGCTCTCCTCAGCAGCAGAGGAGACCCGGTCCTGCACGGGGGAGTCCTGACGCTCTCCTCCCGGAGAGATCCGGATCGGCTCCTCTTCGTCTTGTCCCCGGTTGGACTCCACATCCACGTCCGGGTCGTCGTCGTCGTCGTCCACCACGCTGTCCCGGTCCGGGGATATCGATCTGTAGCTGGAGCTCTCGCTGATAAAATCCGGGGACAGGTAGCCGGGGCGCACACCGTAGCTGTCCCGGTTGCCGTAGAGTTTGGCGATGGTTTCTGCGTCTTTCACGACAGGTCTGAAGGCCGAAATGTAGCTGATTTTCCTCTGAGAGGTCTCGTCTCCGGATTTGTCCTCGTCGTTCCTGGTGGAGGAGGACTGGGAGCTGGGGCAGCGCTCTCCCCCGTCCTGCTGGTGGTGCGGGTGGTGGTTCGTCTCTTTGGGTGTGTTTGCGCCTCGGTCGCTTTGGTCCGATAAGTCGAGCTCGCCCTGCCGCACGCCTGGCAGCTCTGGAGGAGGTTTTGGTGGAGAGCCCGGGTAGGGCGGCATGGGGAGGCCGCCGGCTGTAGGCCAGAACATGGGGAAAGCAGGGTAGAGGGTGTCCTTAGCGCCCGGCCAAAACACACCGGAGACGTTGGTTTTGCTCGCGTCAGGCACCCCGTCGCTCTTTTTCTGACACAGCCCATAACTGGGGAAGCCGTAGGGGTGGTGAGGGAACAGAGGTGGGGGGATTTTCTGGAGCATGCCAAAGCTCTTGCTGGGCACCGGGATGACCGGGTAGCTCCGTGCGCCGCTCGCCAAACTCAGGTTATTACTCCCCTGCTCCTCGTCGCACCGTAAAGTTTTGTGGGGGATCTCAGGGGAGCTGGTGGGAGCCAGGCTGGACGAGGCCTGTGATTTCATCTGCGAGGACATTCCCGACCCGCTCATGGGCAGAGTCCTTTTTCTGCTCCCCCCGTTGAACATGGCCTTTACATCCTCCCACGCGTGGTTAATATCCTCAGATGGCTTTTTCTCCGTCAGTTTCAAGTGGCGTCTCCACGAGTTGAAGTTGGCCGCGTCCGGCTGCAGATACTTGGACTCTGGGGTGCGATGAGAGTGGAAAATGAATTTGTTTGGGGAGAAATACATGTTGCAAAAGCTGCATTTGATGCACTTTGCTCGGGAGCTGTTGTATCTGGCGGGTATAAAGCTTCCTCTGCAGCCCCAGGCGCAGTCATGAGACACGTCAAAGGCGAAATTTTCTGGCAGCTTTGGGGGGCTGTGCGCTCCCAGGAACGACTTGCAGAGCCTCTCGGCCTCCCGTTTGGTGATCATGCCGCAGCGCCTGGAGGAGATGGGCATGGCCCCGGCGCGCCGCAGGAGCTCCAGCTGGACGGGGGTGCACTGGACGCAGGTGATGCCCAAAGCGACCCGGCGGTTGTGTATTTCGTTGTAGCTGTAGTTCTTCAGCAGCGTGTTGGAAATCTGCGCCAGGCAGAGTCTCTCCTTGCCGTCTATGACCAGGGACACGATGGGAACCCCGTACAGGGAGGTCTCACTCACTTGGTTCGGTTTGAGGGAGCTGGGGCTGGAGAAGCTCTGTGCGTCTTGCTTTGAACTCGGGGAAGAGCTGGCGTCTCGTCCCGCGTCTCGAAGCTGTCCGGGCATCGACTCCATCCCTGGAAGTCTGTCAATCAAAGAGAAAAATGGAGTTAGTCTGAGGCCTGTTTGGAAAGTCTGCAAAAACACAACATTTCTAGTGCAAATGATACAGTTTGTGAACAAACAAACAAACAAACAAACCAAAAACACCCCTCCAAAAAGAAATACAGTTAATATAGAACATGGTGGTAAAATATGGTGAGCATGATTTCAATCCACAAATATGTTAAATACAGATAATAACCTAAGTATTATTATTGTTTTATTAGAATTGTTGTCATTATTAAATAGTAATCTAGTATTTACAGTAAAAATGGGCCAATTAATGTTAATATGATGACCTCATGTAATAATAATAATAATAATAATAATAATAATAATAATAATAATAATGGACTAACATTCGTTTCTTTCCAAGATTCTGCACGAATAAAAAAGTGAAATCAATCAGACGTCTAGTTCATCATTTTATCCTATCATCATCATTTCTTCCCTCCGTGCGTCCGGCCTCCTCTCTCCGGTTATGAAGCCTCCTGTTCGGATGTGGATCTGCTCTTATCTTCAAATCGGCTCAGCACCGTACGGGGCAACTACTTAAGAGTCATATAAGATCCTTATACGTGGATAAGGACAGAAGGAAATGCAGCCTGAGTAGCGCCAAATGCGCTTAGCAGAGAGGAAAAGAACAACTATAAGCTGCTTTCCTGGTAATTACACGGATCCAAGCGTGCGTCCTCGCATTGTTAATAAAAGACCAGCCCTATATATAATTAAAGCTTCTGCGCCAGATTAGCCTCCGCCGGTTGCTCGAAATTAGGTTGAAGCAGGCCTATCTCACGTTCACCTGCGCATACTTACTTTTTTGCATCTCATCGCTGGGATTATGGAGGCCGCCACAATACACGCAAACCGCCTGCAGCTCTTTAATGTTCCATCTGAATAAACTACACCGGAGAGGCTGATAGACCAATATTTGGCACGTTTGGAGCAAATTACGCATGCAGAATTAAAAAACAAAACAAAGAAATATAGAATACAAAAATATCCTTTAGTTCTGACTGAATTATTGATTTTAAAATGACATACCTTTCTCTCCTGAAAAGACAGCACACTCCAGCGGGGTTAGAGATGGAAAAAGATAGATAATATGAATTTAAAGGGATGAATATTCAGGCCGGGTGCGTCCAGAAAGAAAAACAAAAGCGGTTTGACAGAAAGAAACTCAGGAGTGGAGCCTTTATTTCAGTTTATCTCAGTGCAGGCAGCAGCGCGCAGGACCTCCATCCTGTTGGAGCCCGAGGAGGTGAATGGAGAGTAGACAGGAAGCACATGGCACCTCTCTCTCTCCCCCTTCTCTCTCTCTCCCTCTCTCTCTCTCTCTCTCTCTCTCTCTCCTGTCATGCTGATGTGTAATAGCTCTCTCCCTCCCTCTCTCTTTCTGACATGCTGAGCTGCTCCTCACCATTTCTGAGGATGTACAAATTTTACGTACAAACATGATCAGAAACAAACAGGATATCACGCCCAATTAGGCTTCTGCTGACCCCAAAATGGGGAAACATTTTGGCCTTTATCAACATATTTGCTGTTATTACACATAATTAAGAAAAGGGCATCATCCTCATGGCAGCACAGGCTTGGAAATACGTGCGTAAAAACGCCAAAATAGCGTAAAACTATAACGTGACCCTTCCGATCCTAATCTAGGACCCTCTAGGGGGCCCCCGGACCCCACACTGGGGATCACCACCGGCCTATAACTGATCTATACGTGTTCAGGATCAGCTCTAATCATGCACGTCCTGTAGCTGTTATTATTTCAGTCGGAGCGCATCGGCAGCGAGCGGCACTTCGGAGGGCAACTAGAATGACTAAAAAAGGCCCGGGCTCATTTATCAAGTTACGCGGCCATCTGTTAGGCTTCCGCGCAAATCAATCCGAGGCCTCTGCGACCGAAAGAGAAGCGAAAGAGGAAGAAACGAAGGACAGAAAACTGAGAGAGAAGCCCGGATTTTTACAGTGCTTTGTCTTCACACTCCTTGGCACAAAAAAAGGAGTGAACGTGGGATGAGCTGATGATCTCTCAAGGTCTCCATTTCTGGAGAGACACAAACAATGCTTGGAAATCACTAAAGGAAACTCTGCGAAGTAAAGTGGTGGCAGGAAAAGGCAAAAGCATTCAGATTGTATTTTATTTTTTTGTCTAAATGATGCGAGTTTTACAGAATGTGATAAATACCCTCAAACAGGATCCAGCTTTTCCTTTAATCTTAATGTAAACTTAAATATAAAGAACAAACCCTCTCAGCCATCCTCGGGCTGCTTACACTGGTGTCATTTAAAATCTCCACTTTACTCAACAGCAAGTTTTTTTGTACAACCACTAAATGACCCAATAAATACATATTTTAGTCACAATCACTAAAACAAAGAACACATTTAAGGATTCCATCAACACCATTTACTTATGAAGCAGTGGGATTGATGCCAAAATCAGTAAAAACAATAAAATAAAAATCAATTTTGATTGTTATAGTGGTATTCATTCTGCAGCTAAGCAAGACACAAGAACATCTGTCTTGTTTTTACATGTTTATTGCTCTTTTAGGACACAGCACCTGGTTTCATTGTTATTATTTATAGCATGCATGGCTGTCATTTTATTTGTAATATCTAAAAAGAAGGTGCAGTCAGTATTAGGGTAGAAGCAGCATGAAAAATTAAATATCTTTTTTTTTTTTATAAGAAACTCTTATAACTTCTTCTGAACATCATTCTTCTACATGTTGTGCTCTTAAAGGATAATATTCACTTTGAGGAACAAACACCAACAGCGGAAAAAGCTGGTCATCATCTATGTTTTGCTCAATAAAAGACCAAAACCCACATTGAAGGGACCCTAACTCGTTTCCACCTTATCATGTTAGAAAGTGCACTTTATTTAGCTGATTTCACATCATCCTGCTGCTTTAAGTCATCATAGCACACCAAATGTGTATTTATCCGCAGCTGAAAATAGTCCCCAACAAATGTACTATTTAACCCTCTTTGAGTGACCTTTGCTGAAACTACAGCTATAAGAAGAAATCACTCAGGGTTTGAAAATTATTTGAAAAATTCTATATTTATTACTTGTTTTTAGAGATCTTTCAAATGTGCATTAAATTGTAAAAGTTGAAAAGCATCAAGAGATGGAATAAACCCTTGTTGGTTTTGGTCCTGACATGGGCTTTTAGTCACAATATGAAAATAACAACAGTGTTCTGCTGGAAAGTGGAGTTTCAGGGGGAATTATTGGGTGTGTTTGTTGCAGGTGGAGGGTTTAAGGGGGCCAGCGAGGACATGAGACCCCAGAGAGTCTCAGTCCGGCTCTGCATTCAAACTGATTTTGAGTTTTGTTTTTTTAACTGGTTACTTTAGAAGTTGAACAACATGACTGCATACAAATGGAGCTGAATGATTAGATGATGCATTACATTTACACGGTTCTTTTGATAATTATGTCAGTTATTTCTGATGCAAAATATCCCAAATTTGACAGTTCCAGAGGTGATGTAAATGCATGAACAGACATCTGTCAGAGACGGCAACAAAGAGAAATCAAAAACATGAAAATAGTTGCCAACAAATGCATTATTTAACCATGTTTGTGTAACATTTACAGAAAAAAACACACAATGCAGCTGTTGTAACACCATTCAGATCTTTTAAAACTACATTAAGCATATTGTGTATTACTGACTTATTTTTTTGTTTTTAGAAATATTTAAAATGTGCATGAGTACAAAAACTGGGGAATCTTGAAAGTAATAAAAGACAGACTAAAGCCTTGTTGGTCTTTTCATGGGCTTCAAACACCAGAATAACACCGGTGTTCTTCTGTAAAGTGGGTTTATTGGTGAATTGTTGGGGGTATTTGTTGAGGTAGAGGGTTGAAGGGGACAGTGAGGACATGAGACCCCAGAAAGCCTCAGTCCAGCTCTGAATTCAAACTGAAAGAGATAATTAGCTTTTGTTTGAACACTGAGGGGAAAACACAGTAAGCAGTGGTGTGGAGGTCTTTCCAGGTCAAATTCTTAGTTTGAAACACTTTTTTTTCCACTAATATGGACCTTTTCTGCACTATTTTCTCCAAGACTCCTTCTCCTTTACAAAACTTTTCACAAATTCAAAACACGTGAGGTGAAGGAAAACACCTGCTTCAGTCTTTCTTTTTTTTAAGGAATCTCTCCCTTGAAATCTATGTAAATCCAAATTCTATGTGTCAGAGGAGGTGGCCAAGAGAAACCAAACAAACATTTAGGTCAGCTGTAGACGGTTTATCGTGTGAGCAGAGAGAACAAAGTGTGTGTGTGAACAGTGACAGATGAGTGTGTTTATGAAGCATCATCAGTCCGGTGCAGCCTGAGCTCACTCGGTTTTACCTCCTCTGCAATATTGATGCTGAACCTGATCCTGAGCGCATCCTCTCCTCTTTCACCATCAAGAGGCTTCCCCCTGCAGCCCCCGCCAATAATTACAATTTTATACTGTAATTATTCCTCTCCTTTTAATTATTTAGACCGCCGACTTGAATGCAGCCATTGTCGCTGCTGATTCCGGGGGAAACGTGAGCTTGACGTGGCCGGATCAGCAGCGAGGAGTTTTTAATTAGACATTTCAGCGGTAATTTTAGGCGAGCTCTTTATTATTACTGTTGGATACAAATTACCCGGCCTCATTGATATGCGCTCAATTGTTTAAACAAACCTTTAACCTGAAATATTCATGCGCTTCAGGTTTAAGTCATTAGGAGTCCCAACTCAGCAGGTGAACCAGACCTGATGGATTATTTACCACGACGGGAGAAGGGAGACAGATGTTTATCTTTAATAAAGTAACGTCTAATAACCATTTTATTTGCAGTCTAAACCATAAAGCTTCCGCATTTTTTTTTTTTTGCTTGAAAGACTGGAAACTTTGGCACAGATGTTATGAAACAACACATGGGAAGATTTTGTTACTTAAAGAAAACG